ATGTTCGGTAACTAATCAAGTCATATTATTAAGCATTACCCTACCTTTGCATTTTTTTCCTTTAAATCCTGATTTGCAAACACAAGCATAAGAGCCAACGCTGTTCCGGCATTCGGCATTTTTTGGGCAAGCATTTGGCTTACTGCATTCGTCAATATCTGCAAGAACATCCTCATCAGTGATTGGCTTTATAAATAAAGATATAAATCTCAATAATAAGTGATTTTATCTACCTTCACATATTTTCCCATCGCCGCTATAGCCTTTCTTGCAAGTACAAGAATAGCTTCCACGGCTGTTAACACAGATGGCATCAGTACTACATTTATCCGTCATTTCGCGGCATTCATCGATATCTAGGCGTATAATTAATCGATATATAATTAAATATAGATTTCTTAGGGCCGGTTATATAAGCTAGATTACAGGTTACAAGAGTAAAATTGGATGATAATATGGTTTACCTTTGCAAGTCTTTCCGTTTAGGCTGGCTTTAAAACCATCGGTGCAATTGCAAGAGTAGTCGCCAATTGTATTAAAGCATGATGTGTTATTTTTGCAAGTATATAACTTAGGATCGCTACATTCATCAATATCTAGTTAATGTAAAAGTGATCAGTCAAATTTATTTATTTGCCAAGAAAATTGCAAGCTAAATATCATGATCTAAGATAAAAATTACGCTCGGTACCTCGACAGATTTTACCATCTCCTTTGTAGCCTTTATTGCAAGTACAATTAAAGGATCCATTTGTATTTTTACATCTGGCGTTGTCATCGCAATCATGTGCTTTTGTTTTACATTCATCAATATCTGTAATAAAGCGGCGTAAATGGATTATGAAACTGAAATATAGAAATCCCTAGATGTATATCCGATATACGATACCACATATATTATTTGATTATCAAATTTTCCTATTAAGAATTTATATTGTTAGAATACGTACTTGACATACGCGCATTAAGCTATCCTTTAAGACTATTAAAACTAGATATTGTGCTAGCAATTTAACTGCATCCATCACAGATTTCTCACAGTTAGTTAATTTGATCGCAATCATGTACTTTAGCTTTACGTTCATTAATATCTCTAATACGGCAGCTTTAATGAATTACGAAACTGGAATACATAGAAATCTCTACATATCTATCTGATGTGCGGCACTATACTGTATATTTTGGTTCATGATCAACATCTTCTCTTTAGCGGTTATATTATAAATCTCTGGTTAAAGCACATGCTTAACACACGCACATAAATATATCTTTCAGGCCCAGTGAAAGTAGATATTGAGCAAACAATTTTCTTTGAACTTTACAAATTTCTAACTACTAGTTAAAGAGCACTAGGCTTATTAAAATACTGGCAATTACCTTTACATTTCTCGCCATCCGCTATGAATCCAGGTAAACACTGGCAGTCAAATGATCCAATATTATTAATGCACTTTGCTTTCTTGCCACAAACATTTTTTCCTTTGCATTCGTCCTTATCTTGATATTTTTAATACAACAATAACGCAATGGGCAATTTCCCCCCAAAAGTTCAGTGCTTCAGTATCTTAGCATTTAATATGTCAATATCTAGAGACTAATATTAATTCTATTATTTAAAATTATCGTGAGATTCCAGATACAATCTAAATACTAACCTGTACAGTTATACCCATTCCCTTCGAAACCCGACAAACAAGTACACCGATAGGATCCATTGGTATTTTTACAGTTAGCTTTATCATTACAGCGATTATCACCAAGTTGGCATTCGTCGATGTCTGTACATGTCAATCCATCACCGGTATAGCCAGGCTTGCATGTGCAATCGTAAGATCCAATATTATCAATACAATTTGCATTTTGATGACATTTGTTGCGTTTTTTACATTCATTAATATCTATCCAATTTTATACAAAATTATATTTATTAGTTCGTTGTTTTGAGCAACTTTATCATATGATGTTGTTTTAAATTGAATACTTAGATGGATCTATTAAATTAAAGATGTTTTAGAATTTCTTTATCAAACTTTACTAATATCATTCCATATATTATAATTTTCGCGTAGAATGCCTTATAGGCGTAGTGAAAGAAATATGCACTTACTAGTACAAGATATTCCATTTCCTTGAAATCCATCATTGCATTTGCAATCTACTTTGGTTTTATTTTGACTGCAATGAGCATTTTTGTCGCATTTATTAAGGCCGGGTTGGCATTTGTCCAAAACTAGAAGGATAAAAGTGTAAGTGTTACCATAGCGTATTGAGGTAATTACCTGATATAGCCATAATACGATCTGATTTAATTTATGCATGATAGTATCTACCATTGCAAGTGTAGCCATTTCCAGTATAGCCTGGTTTACATTGACATTCATAAGAACCAGCTGTGTTAATACATTCTGCATTATTACTACACTTATTGGGTGATCCCTTTTTGCATTCATTAATGTCTAGAAAAAGCCAAGAAAAAACATAAGTTATACTTAAAATTGATGGCAGATTGAAGCACAATAAAATAACTGAAAGTCCAGAATAAATTATGAATTCCGGCTATTGTACAACTTACTTTAATTATTAACCTAAGCAAATAATGATGCTATTGATTAAGTGAATAATTAAATATCATCTTAGTTCGAAATTTAAATGGCTTAAGGACTGAATTGAAAGAGTTGTGCAATGGGTAATGATTTAATATATGATTATAATATATTTTGAAGCTTTAGTCAGATTTGCAAACGACAGTAAAATTAAGCCTAGAAATGATAACAAGTTAGACTGATAGATTCTGTCAAATCGGCTCTTACAATCAACTTAACAAGTAGAATAAAGAACTTTAAAAAATAACATTGCTTTATTGGGTACAAGAATTTAATTTGATTGTTGATTAACATTTTTACCCTTGCATTGTTTTCCATTGCCAGCATAACCGCTTAAACATTTGCAAGAGTAGCTTCCAACGGTATTGACGCATGTGGCATTCTGGCTGCAATTAACAGCACGCTTGATACATTCATTGATGTCTAAATGAATAAATTACCCGAAGTATGTCAAGACTTAGTTTCTAAAAAAATCTTTTATTTAGTAAATTTAATAAATCAATTTAAGGATTTTCAAAGCGATATCATGGTACGCTATAATGATATTTAGAAATTGAAATGAAAAGCCGTTAAAATTTCTATCTACATTTTTGATAAGCATTGTGAATTGATGAAATAATTTGGTATACTACGTTATAGTTGATGATCGTAACTTTTTTACCTTTGCAATCTGTGCCATTGCCAGTGAAACCAGGTTTACATTTACAGCTGAAAGAACCAAACTTGTTTTTACAGTTCGCGTGCTTGTGGCAGTTGTCTTTCTTTTTGGTACATTCATTGATATCTAAAAGTAACATGTGAAATATATAGAAGGTTGATTTAATGTATCTACTGTAAGGAATCTTAAAAACTTTATAAATGAAATCATTAAAATTCAAGGTTTTCATGGATAGTAACGTTCATGCAGCTCAGTAGTGCCAAGCCATTTATTTTAAATGCAAAACGAATGGCAAAATATGATTTTATACATAAAATAAATTTTCTCATATGCTTAATTCTTATCTTTCAAATAAAATCGGTAACGTATGACGCATGACCTACTAATAAAGTTTAAATTTTTGTCACTAGCAGTTTATGCTACAATATTTGATTTATTTTAATTATTAAGCTACGAGGATCTCGTAAAGCACTTGCAAATTGGCATGATTTACATTTAATAATTTACTCTCGGAGATTTTACTAATATTCTGGTTTTAATATGTAGTTGAAATTCATTAAGTACAGGTATCAAATATTTTGGTAACGCTTTCCTGTCTACCAAATACTCTCACATGCCTTGCTTACATTTATTTTTAAAGGAATTTCTTAATCTTTACCTGGTTGTTTTATGTGCTTATCCTCGTTTACTTTACTGAAGTAAATTCGATTGCATTACAACTTTCTCAAGTTATAATATTATATAATTTTTTATTTGAACGGAATCTAATTAATATTATCTCTTCTATATTATCTAATGTAATTCTTAGGCGATATGATAAATTCATAAAGTCAGTTTTTGTAATGGTTTTAGATCATTAGCACACTTAAATATCCTTAATTTTATGTAAAGCCAACTGATGTGCGCTATTGTTGTGAGTAAATGTGCTTCATATTTTGTTCAAAATTTCGAATTTAGTAACAGTAGCATCATGATAATAAAACCCTATTCATTAGATTTCTTTTCAACGAAAGTTTACGAATTAATTATCATTAAAAATTTCAATATTTTAGATTCAATATGCGCTATTGAAGATTATTTGTACAGTCTTTATATTTAAATTGTTGCAATTGATAGTCGATGCTATTTAAGATGATTATATCTTGAATTCGGTTTGCCTAGTGCATAGCCTATTTAAACTCCATGCAGACAATGAAATATTATCTATATCCTAATGGTATTTAATCAACTAAAAACTCTTATACTTAAAGCAATAGCAATCTTATCATACTCACTAATTGAATTGTGTAAAAATTTATAGTTTCAAGCTTTGCAATGTTATCAATACAAAGTCATAGTATTGAAATTAAATTAGAATCTAAAAATAGAGCTTCGATACTAATTGTAAATTAGAATAACTTGTTTCCTGCTGCTTTATTTTCTATTTTAATAGATACTGCATTGAAGTCGATAATTCAGAACATTTATTTGTACCTGCACAATTCTTGTTGATAATTTGAAATCCAGACTTGCATTTACATTCGTAGGAGCCAATAGTATTGATGCATTCACTGGTTTTACGATTGCATTGAGTCTTGTTTAGTTTAAGGCATTCATTGATATCTGGCATATCGGGATTATACATAAACCCTCAATTATGAATTCATCAATAGAATATAGTAAATTATTTAATAATGTAGCGATTTACTCAATCAGTGTACAGTGTATACTATACATTCATCATTTTTCGGGAAGGATTTGATTGCCCTAACCTGTACATTTCATACCATCACCAGTGAATCCTCTGTTGCATTTACAAGTATAAGAGCCAATTTTATTGATGCACTTGGCTTTCTTATGACATTTTGTTTTGTTTTGAGCACATTCGTCGATATCTTTGGTAGATTTAATTGAAGATTAGAACAAAGTAGAAATTTTTCACATAACATGAGAACGAACTAAAATTACTGCAACAATGTAGTATTTAGTGCAATAAAGTAAATTTAATTTCTGTGTAATATCGATTAATAATGATTTGATGTTGTTAGTAACATCACGGACTGGACTAATGCTATTTGAAAACATTCTCAGTATTTAAATTTATCATTTAATCCTTAAATTTCATAAATGTTTCAGAAACGAGAGCAAGTACCGTAATTAAGCTAAACTGCGGTCTAAAGTAGAAAAGCTCGTAGGATATGATCAAGTACGTAAAACTTTGTAAAATGTGCTAGGTTTCTTGTTAGTTAATTCGTTATTAGTGTAAAAAAATATTCTTCTAGTCTTCACTGTTAAAATGTTTTATAAAGAACTGTATCTTATACAGTATATATTAGCTGCAATAAAAAGCTAAGCATTCTTTATGACTTTTAAGTAGGAAAATTTCATTCTAGCTGATTATTCTTTAACAAAGTGAGAGTATATTGTCAGTTTTAAATAGATTTATGATTTTTATTCAAACCCATCGTAGAAATCGTCTCAATGACTAAAGAGTGTTTGTGGTAAATATCAAACAAATTGAATAAACTCCTACTAGATATAAAAATCCATTATCTAAATTAATGAATTAAAGTGGTATACAGATATGCTTTCTATCATATAATTTTATCAACTATAGTCAATCCTATTCGATCGTACCATTGCAGTGGTTTTTCACTTTCTTGAAACCGGCATTGCATTTACAGGAATAAGAGCCAAGGGTATTTACACATTTAGAGTTATTCTTGCATTTATGTTTTCCTTTGCATTCGTCAATATCTATCGTATTTTATTATAAATTAGTCCCATCACACATTGAGCGAATTACGGATAGTATAGGTAAGCTCTGCAAGTGATTGGTGATTGCTGATTTTATATCAAAAATAATAACTAAGGTTGTTGTATTGAATTTTACAGTGTATAACCTGTACAGTTCTTTCTGCCATCGCCAGTAAAACCGCTTTTACACTTGCAATTGTAGCTGCCCTTACTATTGTAGCATTTAGCATTTTTATGACATTGATGAAGAGATTTCTTTAAGCATTCATTAATATCTAAGAAAAATGCATACGAATATTTAAAGACGCTGTTAAAAAGAATGGATAATATTTTTATTTTGCTTATTGCTTCTCTAAATTTTTATTTACCTCGACATTGTTTTCCATCGCCTTCGAAGCCAGCATTACATTTACATTTATAACTTCCCACTGTGTTAGTACAATTGGCAAGCGAATGGCATTTGTCTTTCTTTTTGCGGCATTCGTCAACATCTGTCGGTTACAAGTGAAATTGGTTAAAATTTTTCATCGTGGATAAAGAATATGAAATAAATTCATTGTCGATAGAATGGGTATTCTTTGATTTACCTTCACATTTTTTTTTGCCGTCTCCCTGGAATCCCGATTTGCATTTACAGACATAAGAACCAGGTCTGTTTTCACATGTAGCATGCTTATGACAAGAATTTTGTTTAGGATCACTGCATTCATTAATATCTGAAGCCGTAAGTTAGAAAGACAATCACAGCTATTAGAAAGGTATTAACATATTAAGTCTGAATCGACAATTAAACTCTTGTAAGACTTCATTGATGATTCTAGTCAAGCTATGAAATATGGTTTTACATGGTACTAGAGAGCTCCCTTATATTTATATTTAAAATTTAATTTCATTATCACTGTATATTAAGATATACTGTACATATATGCTGTAAATAGTGCACAGCACTATTGTAAAAAGCAGGATAGTTGAAGTAAGATAACATAACCGTGGAGTCTATAAGACCGTGCAGTAGTTAACTAAAAGTAGGGGTTTAATTCATAAGAAATTTTTTCACTAAATGTTGAGTTTCTGATTGAATATTATAATTCTCTTTCAGCCTAGATAAATTAGTAGCTATAAGGTGTAATACACAATAAGTCTGACGGTAATCCACTTTGATCATAACATAGAGAGAGTATGTAACATTATGATCTTATATAGAAGATGCCTAGTATAGTAATATCCTAATATACGAATACTTATCATATACCGTTTAAGTACTGTATTGTATTACATTCATAATGTACGACATCATGACTACATATAGACGACATGCTATACATATAAAGACATTATCTCAATCCCATCTAAAACCTATAAATACCCTTGTACGCTAACTCGTTAGTCAGTTCCTACATTCCTGCTATCTCAGATACCTTATCTATAACAACCATATCATTGTTAGCCTGTAACTTGTATCTCAATAAAATCCTTTATACCTTCTATCATCGTCTACCTTAAAATACTTTACGCTACTTAAAGAAGATATCATTACAAGTATAACTATATGAGAACAAGTTACTGACGATGAATAAGTAGTGAATGAGAAAATTTGTGGTGAAACTGTTAGCAACAATAAAAAAGCTTCGCATATTCTACAATAAACTTTTGATATATATCATAATTCATCATGAAAACCGGTATTAATTTTACCATCCTTACTTACCGATACACTTGCGAACTTTATGAGCTTTGTAGCCTTTCTTACATCGGCAATCGTACGAACCATCAGTATTAACGCAGACTGAATTATCAAGATTACATTCGTTCTTTCCCTTGCATTCGTTAATATCTGAAATTTATTTTTTATGAAAAATATTTAATTACTAAAGTATAGTTTCTATCGCCAACTATTCTGAAAATTAAAGTTTAAAAATCAATAGCTAATATAATAAAAGGAATGCATGCTGCAGTGATATGACCGAGTCAGTTCATTTTTTAAGATTAGATGTAAGAAATTGAGGGGTATAAATTTTTTGCTACAAATTTACGGTAAATAAGGTTTTAAATGTTAATCATTACTTTCCAATCATATTGGCTAAAGCCTAGATATTAAATTTCGTAATCTTATTTATAAAATAAAATTTATTACCAGTACAATTGATTCCATTTCCTAGGAATCCTTTACTGCAATGACATTGGAATGAGCCCTGAGTATTAGAACATTCGGCTTGTTTATGGCAGTTATGATCGCCGGTTACACATTCATTGGTGTCTGTCGTCGTAATATCAATATTTTTTAAAATCGATGACATAAATCAATCAAAGGTTTATTATTTATTACAAATACATATAAAAATAAATTGTATCAATGCAGTTTACCTCGACATTCTCTGCCATTTCCTATGTAACCTTTCTTGCATTTGCATTTGTAAGAACCACGTGTATTTTGACATTTAGCATTCGTATGGCACTTATTCATGGTTTTATTGACGCACTCGTTTACATCTGAAAAAGTATTCCATTTAAAAATTTTATTTTATAAATAGTCTAACGCTTTAAAATAATGCTTTGCTGTACATAGCATGATTGAATAAGTCGCAATTGAAGTACAAGAAGTTGTTTCGAGTATTTCAAAAAGAAAGTCAGCTATTGTATGTTTTTAAGTTAGTGTTAATTAAAATGGCTGGTTGAATTACTATAATGTCATCTATTAATAGGTTAGAAGAAAATTCTTGAATTAATTAATTCAATTAATTGAATGTATAATTTTAGAATATTAAATCCTAACTTACAAATCATTATCATGTAATATAATAACATAAAAATTTTCTATGTTGATAACCCTATTTAGAATATAGAATATTAAATTTAAATTTACAAACTACCATCGTGCAATATACTAGCGTAAATAAGTACCTACGCTTATAACCTAGAATATAGGACTAGTTAGATATAAAAAGATGATGTCCTAAAGCTGTGCTATGCCGTTATTAGTCTCACGCTAACTCTATATTTTGCAACTATGATTGTTAGCCGCATCAGTGCAGAATCCGTCCTATAGCTAATTACCTTTGCAATCATATCCATTGCCTTCATAACCAATTTTACAGTAGCAACGCCGCTGTTGTTTCTGAACCGAGCAAGTAGCATTTGCATGGCATTTAATCGATTTACATGATATTGTGTTATTAGCTGTGCATGTGCAGTTTCTTCGACAGTTATTACCAATCCAGTTGCTTCCAGCCTTTAGTTATAAGTAATAGGTAAGAGTTCACATACATAATTTTGAATTATTTCGTCTAACTTTAACGAGCTCAATTTACATCTATCTAGAGATTGCCAATAGAAGACAAATCAGGACATTTACAGGAATCTACCTCAACAAAGGAAGGACCCATTTTGCAACCGCATTGGCTCGCTTTAATGCATCGATTATTTTGAATAAGTGTCCCTTTTGGGCATTCGCAGCCTTCAATACAGGTATCTTCATTTTCGATGCATTTAGGATTACGATCGAAACAGGATGGTGGGCACTTGGATACACAGTTGACAAATCGCATTCCATGTGGGCATTGCATAGCTATTTAGACCAATAAATGAGCACATAAATCCAAAAAATTCTTGATTACAGTCGCTTCTTTGCAATGCTAGAATTCATGTATCAAACTTACGGCACAAGTTGGATTTTCTCCAGGAAATTTTAACTGCCATTTCCGCACAAGCAGTGGCATAGCTTTCAATTGGACTACAACGAATAGTCTCCATTTTGCCATTATTCATGCAAACATCATACATACAAGACTCATAATAAACGTCAGGATTGACCACAGGATGGCAAGGTTTAAATACCGCACTCTTAATCACCTAATCATGATTAACACAGGACGGTTACTATATAATCAAGGCTAAGTATAAGTAATGGATATGATGGCGATTCAGATACAATTCTTTCGAATTTTGCCGACTTACTTTACATGCTGCTTTAGCTCTTTGCTCAACGAGTTTATCACTGTTACAAAGATTGGGCTGTTCCGATGGTACCGATCGGCATTCTGGTGCACTTCCATTCGCTAGCCAACTAATTCCGACATCGTTATAGGTTTTACCCATTTTACCATTATTCATGGCAAAGTCATCACCTGAATTACCATTAAAGTTACCGCAGATTCCACATACTTTATTCTTGTACGATGTAGGAATTTTAATGGCTAAATGATGCTTGCCATTCCATGATACCATAACCCCGTAGACCAGATCAACTACTACTGTACTACCGATTAATGTTATAGACACATTCTTGTTGGGATAAGCTGGTAAGTTGATACGTTGACCGTTGAGTAGGACAACTAATTTCTGGAGTAATGAAATCTCTAAACCATCGACTTTAACAAATCCAGACTTAGTCCAAGTTGCCTGTATAAGAAAGAAATGTAACGTTTTTTGTGCACATGGAACGTATTAGAATGATTCAAATTGTGTAGCTCCTACTCTTTCGTTGCCTTTTCTGTATTCATTTTCGCCTTCAATAACAAAGTGAGGATTTTCTGTGCAATCTTTCATTAGTACATATCGGCATTGTCCTTGAAAATGAATCCATCTATTATCAAAAGTCCGGTAATGCGGATCTCCCATGGCAAGACATTCATGACATTCTAGTAAAAGAAAAAAATTCTTATTTTTAATTTATTTTCTAGTCATTTCATTCACAAGTCACTAGTTAAATATTGATATTCTTCTACTAACCAGTACAGTTAAAGCCATCGCCTTTAAACCCAGGCTTACATCGACATTTGTAAGATCCTGGAGTATTGATACATTTTGCATTGGCATCGCACTTATGTGTCTTTAATTGACATTCATTATTATCTTTTTAAAATAGGATTAGATTGATATCAATTATAAAACTCGATACAATTACAAGTGATATTTGCATATTCTCTGATTTTATACTGTACAGAAAATTTATAGTATAATACTCAAAAATTAATATTGACGTATTGGATACTAATAATTGCTGCAGCTTGACTAATATTTACTTAAAATATTTAAATAAGACACCTCTGCAACGAGTTCCTGCTGGGCTTTCTGAAACTGAAGTTTGCGTGAAACCAGGTAGGCATTTACATTGATATGAACCGATAGTATTAATACAGAGAGCATTATTGGAGCATGGATTTTTTTCAACTTTGCATTCGTTAATATCTTTGAAGATAATTTTAAATGGCCAAAATATAGTATTAGTACATGTAATATAGACCCATTGATATGCTTCATGCTACCGATCTCTACAATTTTCTTAGAGTTAGATAAATCACTCCAAAATTGGAAAAAAACTAATTCAAATGAGTTTCATTCGCTATTGCATATATCGAATAGCACAATCAAGTAATGCTTTTTAAACGTTCTCATACGAATGCATTATACCTTTACAATCTCTACCATTGCCACTAAATCCGACGTTGCATTTACAAGTAAAGGAAGACCAAACTTTGCTAGAACAAGTTGCATTTGAATGGCAGTCTGTATAACCTTCAATGCAAGGATTGTAATCTGTCCACCATATCATATCAGAATTCAAATGTTAGCTATTGGTTTCATTTAGTATTTAGCAAAATAACAACTACTATAGAAAAATAATTTTAAACGTACTAAATTTCTTATCTGCACATAGTAGTTGACCAAGAGCAAAGTTAGCGAATTTGTTCTTGCCGACCACATCTTTGAATTTGAGTTGCGTTGCTGGCAATGTCGCTTTATTTGAAAGGAGTCCTGCATCGCTCCTCCAAATATTATCACTTATATCACAATTACAAAGACTAGATGGATTGGCGCATTTCTTTTCTTGACCACATGTACAAGAATTGCTGCTATTGCTACCACCCCAACCTAATTGCTTGACGCCATTGCTGTCAATCCATTGGCCAAGAGAGGTTCCGTTACTTGATCTCATCTTTGAATTCTTGCAATCGTATCGGATTCCTATCCAACATGAAATATGTAAAATTAATTACGTTATGAATGAAATTAATGACTTGAAAATCATTTTACCAAATATAAATTAATCGTAATATATCAGTATGACCTATTAATCTAGAAGAATTAAAAGTTAGAAACACTATAGGGAGCGTATACTCTAAAATAAAAAAACTCTTAGCATACCCTGAAGGCAATAGCTATGTGTCTTAATTAAAGCCTTGATCTGAGGGATTGTTGCACTATTGTAAACCACTTGTTGCAAGAAATGGTTTTTAGGGGATTTTTTAACGATGACATTGCCTTTAAAGCTGTTATGAGCTATAACTGTAATTCCCAATCCTCTATGCCTGTCATTAAGATCACAGTGGACAGGAAAGGGACTAACACCACCAGGACCATCTGCAATAAGATTCAAAGCGTTTTATAACAAATTTCTCATATCAAGTTATTCTAGTTTAGATTGCAGGTCGTTGCCTACCTGGATCGATAGTATAGGTGCCACTATGTTTGCCTTTATATTTATGTAAAACTTCATGACAATTTTTAGGTAAGCCTAAAAGTAGAATTGGTATTAGATTGGGCTGTGAATCTGACTTTGAGCTCAAATAAATGCCAGCATTGATTGAAATAGATACGATAAAATGTTATTTTTTACTCCAACCTTGCTACAATAAATACATTACCGAATTCGCGAGATGCGCACTTGATTGCGCCAATCTTGTAATTTCCGACGCTATCCTTCTTCAGCCCGCCAAATCGCAGTTCTTTTACTGGTAATGATTTTCTATTAAGCAAATATCCTCCATCCCAATGAGTCTTACCATCAAGAACATCGCAATTACATGAGCTACTAGCATTAACGCAAGTTTTAGTCATGCCGCAACCACACCTTCCTTGGCCATTAGCATCACCCCAATAGTTCATAGCTTTACCTTCATGAGATACCCAATAGCTATATCTATAAATGAGTTAATCGATACAGATTAATACCCCTTCCTAAATCGCCGCCTGAATTGAGGTTACTGCTTTTAGCTATTCCTCAAGAATAGTTTACTTCGTCTTTATAAGTGCGTAATTTATCTTAATTCGCTATTTAAATTGAATAAAATCCCAGAGCATACTTTGATTTGCCATTATTCAGCAATGGAGCGTTCTTACATTCGTAGTTGATCCACTGCTTGCAAAATTGAGATACATTCACTAATTTAATTACTTGTTCAAGACTAGCATGATTGTAGACGATTTTAGTGGAGTGAGATCCTGGCTTTACAGCGCCAATAGGCACTTTCTACAATGTGTCAAAAATAACAGTAAATATCATAATAGACTCTATTGAAGTGTATGATAACATTTGAACTTCTTCATTAATATGCATATTTTATCATGACATACCTTAGCTGCAGGAATATTATGGTCTATAACTGTTATTCCAATATTTTTATCGGTCTTCAGATCACAAAATGCTTTGAATGGTTTTAATTTATGTGGTCCATCTAGAGTATAATTAAATTTGTTGTCATGAATTACTTATATTATTTGGAATAGTTGATTTATTTAATGAAACTCTAATAAATGATGAACATTATTAAGGAATTAGTGTCGTATTAAACCTGCATCAATGGTATAATATCCATTTGATTTCGCTATTTTGGCAGTTTTTGCATCGTCACAGGTCTTATACACGCCTAGGGTAAAAGAATAATGAAAGATTAGACTAAAGCGGGCAAGATCAAAATAACAAATGCTAAATCTTACCCCAACACTGCAATTTTCCAATCTTGAAAGAACTATTCGATTTCGATAGTAGGTTTTTAAACTTTAATCCCATAACCGGTAAGTTAGATTTATCAATTAGATCTCCTGCGTCAAGATGCATTTTGCCATCGGTTGAATCGCAGTTACATAATGTATTTTTGCCACCATCACAAGATTTATTACGAGCACAACCACAACCAATTTCTCCGGTAGCACCACCCCAGTACTTCATTTCTAGTACGTTCAAGTTAGATCAGCGTTAATATGATTCTTATGATTGGTAATAGACAGAGAAAGCAATTCCTGAGCTAGATTAAATTATTTATGCAGCTATTTGCATGCATTGATTCAGTAAACACGACAGAAAAACTGCTTTGAAGTAGAAATACATAAATTAATATTATTAATAGATTATTGATACTACAATGTAACATTTTTACCTTTGCCGCTAGGCGACTTCCACATGACCGATATTTCGTTATTAATAAACATAGGAGCATTCTGACACTGATAACTAACAGTTTGAGTGCAATAGGTAGAGAATTTGGTTAGTGCTTGCAACTGTACTAAATTCACGTTGTAGTATTTCAATGCTATCAATTTCTGCTTGGCGCTTTTAGGTTTGGACTCTTGAACAGATACAGTCTTAATATTGTCATGATTAATAACTGTAACTCCATAGTTCGGATTTGTTTTCATGTCACAATAGGCGGAAAATGGCTTGGAAGGTCCAAAATGATCCTAATAATTAAACAAAAATCGCTCTTCAATATTACATCAATATTGCATGATTATTTCAGATATGACGTACTGGATCAATGACATAAGCCCCGCTTTTAGAAGTACCAGCGCGTCGCATTTCTTCGCAATGTCTGAAAATTTCTGTAAGCAGTTTCAGGCTTATTATTAAATAAGTCGACTATATCTTAAATAATTTTTCGTACATGACTGTTACAATTCTGTACTATACTAGTGCAAACTCCCGTCGCTTTGCTGACGGCTTACGATAATGTGCTCATTTAACAGATAGTATTACCATTTGATAGACCTGTCAGAGGTTCAGTAACTTTTTACCGTTATCCGTGTACTGTATGCTGTACAAAAGTACAGTACTGTTAATTGTACGGGCGGGGCATTTGATAACGTACCCATTTGTTAATAATTAATAGTTAGTATTACCATTCGACATTATATATATCCCGGTAATAGCCGGGCACTACAGTATATTCACAGCTATGCTTGTAGAATACTACTTTTCAATAATGCATTCACGGATGAAACCTTATTACAGTCTTTGATAGTAATTCGGCAATTATAATATCTGCTCTACATATCCTGATGTGAAGAATAATGCTACTGGACAGATTAAAATTATATTAACCATTGCTGAGTAGTAATATTATGATTGAACACTCATTTGCAAGTTTACTTTGGATAATTTGACAACATTTTATTAACATCCGATTACTCTATAATGCTGATTAGAATATTATTGATGTATTGCAAATTTGTGATCAAGTCTACTTATTAAGGTAGTGAAACTTATTATAATTGCTCAACAAGCCATTAAAACTGAAAATTTATGATCAATTCGTATTCCCAGAAAATAATGATCGTAATTTTTTTATATATTAATAAAATACATAGACTAGAATGTAATCAAAACTTTAAACTTACCATAGCGACTATCAGAGCAGCGTAATTGGCCAAGGTAAAATCGACCTCGCATATTCGATGAATTGCTACCAATTCTAATTTCCGTTACGGGTAAAAACTTTTTGTCAAAGATTGGACCTGAATCACTTCTTAATTTATCATCATCCATATCGCAGTTACAGCGGGCTTTGGGTCCACCAGCGCAGTTTCCACTCATGCCACAGACGCAACCTGTCCATTCTTGAGTACCTCCCCAAAAATTCATACTAGCGCCGTCAGCAGAAAGCCAATAACTCATCAGATTTCCTTGCTCATCTGTTAGTCTAGAGTTTCTACAATCATATTTAATTTCTTGTATGCAAGATTTAGAAGTTTTAATCAATTCCTTAAGTTGATTCACATCAGCATGAGGATATTTGACTGTTTTTTTGACAGCGTCTTTGCCTAACGCTTTTTTAACTTCGATACCCGCTGAGGGAATATTATGTTGCATGACCGTCACTGGACCTTGACAACGTGCATAAAACTGCAATCATGGACAGATTGATGAAGTTAATAAACTATTCAAGTTGATTTTATAGTTCAACAGCATAAAACATCTTCAATATTACTCATAAGTACCGGTTTTTTATGTCCAATACCATCTGGATCGATCACCGTCAATTTAGCCTTGCTATTCCTCTTTGAATTTGGAATGCGCTCACATGTTGGATAGAGATCTAGCAAATCGAAACTAAAGGTCATCTTCTGCTATTTAAGACTAATTTTCAGTCACCATTATTTTTTAATAACTTAAAATAATGAAATTCTTGCAA